TTGATACGCTCTCGGCGCTTTAAGCAATTCGTAACAGAACGCCCAAAATTTTTAAACAGTTTAACATTTTTTGGCGCTCTTGCCGAATATCCCGCTTTACTCCGAACTTTTCTACGACCTATTACGACCCCGACGCTTTAATCAAGCTTTGTTACGCTTTGGTGCCGCTTTACAAGCCGCTTTAAAGCGCCATCAAAGCGCCGTTGGTGCGAACGCTTAAACAGTTTAAATTTTTTAGCGCTCTTGCCGAATATCCCGCTTTACTCCCGAGCTTTTCTAAGACCTATTACGACCCCGACGCTTTAATTAAGCTTTGTTACGCTTTGGTGCCGCTTTAACAAGCTTTACAAGCCGCTTTAAAGCGCCATCAAAGCGCCGTTGGTGTGAACGTACCTGAAAGCAGGCTAGCCGCAAAGGAGGACGTAGGTTATCGCAAACAATTTCAAACGATTCTAACTTGAATTGTGTATATTTTCTGATCATGAACATGATCTTTTAGATCCATTCATTCTCTTCAAGAAACGTAATGATGATTTAGTTAATCAGACCTGGAAGTGATATTGAAGGGGCAATGAACCGATCAACATACTTTTTCAAGAATGTTGACCTAATTTTCACCAAAAATGCAACCTTTTATTATATTGTTGAATGCATAATTAGAATGTGCTTCGAGACATGTTCGATTTCCTAAAAGGAAAAGTTGATTGCTCCAGGGACTTTAAAGATACTGAATTTGGATGACCAAAATGAACTGAAACCAATGGATAGCATGAGATTTTTCAATGGAGAAATAACATGGGGAACACTTATCTTAAAGCAATTAAGTTTTTCTTTCAAGAACTATTTGGTACATCAAAATAAAGAATAGTAATTACACGTCGCACGAAACTGGGGACAATGAGCAATAGGGCGCAAACAGCCTTACAACGTCAAAAACGACAAGCGTCACATTTTTTACAAGTTTAGTCAACCTAAAAATAAAATACTTTATCCTTATCTAATCATTACAAAATTTACAGGGTAGCAAGATCTCGAGGACAATATTTCTAAAATGTTTTTGAATTTTGGAAAACGGTCAAGAAATCCACTTGGGGCGTTAGTATTAGTAAAAATTGATATGTATGGAATTTGTGGTAAAAAATCGATGCGTCACATTTTTTCAAGTCTCGAAAACCAGCTCTTATTTTGATATTATTTGCAAAATAAACAAACCGGTTATTGTTTTGTAAATTTCGCCATGACAATATTGTGCAGTTAAATTTTCTTTCAAATCAGACCTAAATTAGAAGGTTAAATGAAGGTAAACTTATTGCTCGTCCCATTCGCCTTCAAAACCTTACACAATTTTGAAATGTAGCCGTTAAGCAATTGTGACGTCATAAATGCAAATGTTCCATTGAATAAATTGTGAAATTTAAGTGGGATTTTGATCATTATTTCAAAAGTTATCTCAATTTCAACGAGCCCTGTAAGCGTAAAGTGTTACGTCTTACAGCGTATTTGACGATGTCGGAGTATATTTAACTTTAATAATGTGTTGGATCCCATCAAAAATTTGAAGGAAAAATAATTTCATTGAAATGCGAATAAAAAAAACTTCAAAATGATATGTAAAACACATAGCTGGATTTTTAAATAAGGCAGAGATTAACGTTCAAAGCTGAGATAAGCCCGCATTTCCCGAATTGTCCCCAGGTCCGTGCACGTCATAAATGCATTAACCATTGTAAAAATTATCGCATTTTTGTGTAAAAATGGGGTCAACATCTTTGAAAAAGTGTATTGATGGGTTGATTGCTAGTTAAATATCTCCGAGCTTGTTTGACTGTATATAATTCTCTTTGAGATAATGAATTTATCTAAAAGATAAACCTGTCTTAATTGTCAGAAAATAGTCATAATCCAAGATATAATTAACCTTCTGAAATTGTTTGCGATAACGTATATACTACGTGCTCCTTTTGATTCAATGCAGTCATTGTTGCTCCTATATGTCATAGTCTAATTATATCGTATATATTGAAATATCAATATATTTGAGTCATCCTCATACCAGTCACACTGTCCGAGTGAAAACAAAATTGCTAGCTGAAATTACACCCTACTCCAAATTGCATTACCAAGACAAGTTTAGCTATCAACAACGTTGGTTCAGGATACCAGGGCTTAATTATAAACGCAAGCTTCCCAAGGGTCATACCTGCGAAAAAGGATTAAATTTCGACAAACTTTTAGCAACCCCAAGTCTTCAGTCGCACTCCAGCAACTACATCTCCCGCAGATACACCGAACCTTACGACAGCTACGCCAGGGGTAGACAGGATAATAAAGTTAAGGCAATTGTTATACAGTGGCAAAACATGGTTCTATGTTGTGGAATATGAGCAATAATTAGACGAGTGTTCATCTGTAGGAGACTTACACTCCCCTCCAAAAGTTTGGCAAACTTAGCACCCTCATATTGTACTACGTGTTAAAGCCTCTTTATGTTTGAATTCTATTTACATAACCTGCGAGGAAAATACTTGTAATTATTGATGAAAATGTAACTAAACATAATTTCCAATGCCTCAAAATTTTCCCAATTTTTTCCTCAATTAGGATTGGTCGCGAATGGATGATAAATATTATGAATTTTTGAAATCGTCATTTCCATGTAAACCAATGGGTTTGCCGCAAGTGATATGACAGAATATTCATCCATCCGAGTTCTTGCAAATACAAGTTAGATAGTCAATTGAATTTGCTAACTTTATCTAAAAAAATTGATACGTTTCTTCAGGTTTAAAAAAGTTATAGGTCTTCAAAGTCAAAATCATTTTTCAAAAAACTCCTCCCGTTGAAATAACACAGGAGGCGAAAAATGATTTTCAAAATGACTTTGAAGCTCTGTAACTTTAGTATTCATAAAGTAAACTGAACACTTAGTGCACAAAAAAAGTTTCAAGACAATTCAATTTTCTATATGAAAATATTTTTTGGTGAAGCTTTTACTGGATAGATATCCTGAAATCAGATATGCCCGAACCCACAATTTCCCATTGGTTTACATGGGAATGACGATTAAAAAAAACACATCAAATATATCATCAATTTTCAAACTTTTGTAATTGAGGAAAAAATTGTAAAATTCAAACATAAAGAGGCTTTAACACGTAGTTCAATGAGGGAGCTAAGGTTGCCAAAGGAGTGGTTCGATATGGTGAACTTTTTGGACACATATTTGATGTGTTTTTTTAAATCAACTTTCTGAAAATTTTACACTTCGTCAATTAAATGGACATCTTTAATTTGGATGCTTTTTTCTCCATCGTTTTAGAAAACGCATCAGACACTCCTTTTGTTATTAATATCATATGTTCGGAATGAAATGAAACATCTAACCGAAGAACCTAGAACCTCATTGGAACAAAACGACATTAAAACAACGTGTTTTGGTCTCTCAATATTGTAATTGTACAAAGGAAACTTTGGTTGATTTTAATAAAGTATCCTGTCAATGAAATAAAAGGTTTATCTTAATTTTTTAGCTATTTGGGGCCTTTGTTTTAATTTTTTGCATACTTTTTGTAAAAATCAACCAAAATTTCCTTTGTATAACTATAATATTGAGAGGTCTAAGAAAATGTTACATTCCAATATGCTATTTTGTTCCAGACATTTTATTTCATTCTCAAGAATTGGTATAAAGGAACAAAAAACAATTGCGCTAAAAACAAAAAAAGTTATATAAAATATATACAAATAATGTTTGCATTAAATTGTTGCCAATCAGTCAACATTATACAAAGGACCTTGTTTTTTACAGAATGTTTTCAATAATTGGTCTAAGAGAAAAACATTGTTGAATTCAGTTCACCATATCGATACCTATCCTTTATCGAGGGGAGTGTACCTTCATTTCAAACCTTTGATAAATGTGTGAATATGACACGTGTGCAAGGGATATAAGTAACCTTATATCATGGACTTTTCTGCTCGTCCGTGTAATAATATATTCCCCTTACCATATCCTATGGCCACTGAGTGTGAGACTCGAGTAACATTCAACAATCGTCGACACTGGCGTGGTACGGTGGTACCGCCATCATTGACGACGCCAACTGCGCCTTTACAGCTACCAAAGCTGCTGCACGCGTACGGTACGACTTGGTTTAATTCTTCAGTTTTGCAAAACATGCCATCTTTACATCTCATCATGTCCTTCTATTATTTCTAGTTAAAAAATAAAGATGTAATGATTATTACTATAGTATTAGAATGCCATCTTTCTTCGAAATGAATGATTTCAGGCACAGACAGTGGCGATGCCCCCCCCCTCGGATCCGCCACTGACACATTACATTGGTCCAAGTGCTTCCTTGATGATTATGCTATTGCAGGGCAACATTTTACATATGATTAAACTGACAATAGTTATAAGATGCCAAAATAATACAGTAAAACCTGTTTAATCCGAACCGGACAAAATTGTTCGAGCAGGTGATTCACATTTCAAGGTTTTATAAACATTAGTCAATTGGAGGGAACAAATTTGAGACCAAGAAAATGTGAAAATTGAAAGGTGTTCGATTTAAAGAGGTGGATATACAGGTTTCACTGTATGTTGTTTGTTGTGAGAACCGAGCCTAACTTTAACGAGTATTTCGTGACACAAGTCTCTCATAAGTCGACACGCCGAACGATTTTAACTTAGAACTGTTTTATGATTTTATTTTACATTTTCAGTATTTGTTATACTTCAAAAACAATGCTTTAAAATAACATTGTTATTCACTAAACAAACCCCTGATGATGAAATTGCTAATCAGAAAGCTTTTTAACAAGTGACTTTTGTGAGCAATACATGTCAGATCTCTAAAGCTGAAATTCCCACCTTGCAACTGGTATATTGAAACATAAGAACAAATGCGTCATTTACTTTTAAGGGGTAGACTTTTGCTCAGCTCTAGCTGCCAAACAAAAAAAACTAACAAACAAACATACAAACAAACAAGTAATTCATTTTTTGAAAAAGTATATTATTGTCTAATAAATACCTATCAACACTACATTATTATCAAGTATTTATTGAGCTCCAGATGTCTGAATTTTTTCAATACTGTATTAAAACACAACATTTACACTGTTCTGTCAAACATTATGGCTTCTCTGAAATGCAATAATATATAAAATACCATCATATAAAAATGTCGAGATAATGTTGGATTTAAATACAGTGAACATGGTTTACAAGAATTTGAAATAATACTTAGAAATGTACATGACATACTAAAAAGGCATGCAATTAAAATATGTTGGTGTATAAATTGTAATCCTTGCATCAAGCCCCAGTGTTGCCCCAATCAATCCTTTTGTTCAATACAATTTTGGGCACATAAATATGCTACATGTGTATGGGTGGAGAAGGGACCGGATGCAAGATTATTATCCTCTTAAATGTCCTAGAACTTGATTAGTATAAAGTAGCTGTTATGGTTCACCAGGTTTTTAAAGATATTCCACGATTTACAACAATCAAATTTCATTATATTTAAAGCATCACATATTATATGGGTGACCAATTTACAAATAAATGTACAGGTATATGACACAATGTCAACATGGGATCACCCAAACATTGACACAACCAGGTGCAGCACCCATTTGAGAAATAAAAAATTAACTCGCACCTGGTTGAAAATTCATCTGCAGCACCTATATGAAGTTACAAATTATAAAAAATTAGATTTACAAGTTTTTACCACAGCTGAGAGATTTGCACACCTCAATAAAGTGAAACAACTGTTTCTGGAACACCTCAATGAAGTGGAACAACTGCTTGGGGAACACCTCAATGAAGTGGAACAACTGTTAGTGGAACACCTCAATGAAGTGGAACAACTGTTTGCAGAACACCTCAATAAAGTGGAACAACTGTTTCTGGAACACGTCAATAAAGTGGAACTACTGTTTGCGGAACACGTCAATAAAGTGGAACAACTGTTTGCGGAACACCTCAATAAAGTGGAACAACTGTTTGCAGAACACCTCAATAAAGTGGAACAACTGTTTGTGGAACACCTCAATGAAGTGGAACAACTGTTTGTGGAACACCTCAATGAAGTGCAACAGCTGTTTGCAGAACACCTAAATGAAGTGCAACAGCTGTCTGTGGAACACCTCAATGAAGTGCAACAGCTGTTTGTGGAACACCTCAATAAAGTGGAACAACTGTTTCCGGAACACCTCAATAAAGTGGAACTATTGTTTGCGTAACACCTCAATGAGGTGGAACAACTGTTTGCAGAACATGTCAATAAAGTGGAACTACTGTTTGCGGAACATGTCAATAAAGTGGAACAACTGTTTGCGTAACACCTCAATGAGGTGGAACAACTGTTTGCGTAACACCTCAATGAAGTGGAACAACTGTTTGCAGAACACCTCAATAAAGTAAAACAACTGTTTCTGGAACACCTCAATAAAGTGGAACTACTGTTTGCGGAACACGTCAATAAAGTGGAACAACTGTTTGCGGAACACCTCAATAAAGTGGAACAACTGTTTGCAGAACACCTCAATAAAGTGGAACAACTGTTTGTGGAACACCTCAATGAAGTGGAACAACTGGTTGTGGAACACCTCAATGAAGTGCAACAGCTGTTTGCAGAACACCTAAATGAAGTGCAACAGCTGTCTGTGGAACACCTCAATAAAGTGCAACAGCTGTTTGTGGAACACCTCAATAAAGTGGAACTATTGTTTGCGTAACACCTCAATGAGGTGGAACAACTGTTTGCAGAACATGTCAATAAAGTGGAACTACTGTTTGCGGAACATGTCAATAAAGTGGAACAACTGTTTGCGTAACACCTCAATGAGGTGGAACAACTGTTTGCGTAACACCTCAATAAAGTGGAACTACTGTTAGCGGAACATGTCAGTAAAGTGGAACAACTGTTTGTGTAACACCTCAATGAAGTGCAACAGCTGTTTGTGGAACACCTCAATAAAGTGGAACAACTGTTTGTGCAACACCTCAATAAAGTGGAACAACTGTTTGTGCAACACCTCAATAAAGTGGAACTACTGTTTGCGGAACACCTCAATAAAGTGGAACAACTGTTTGTGGAACACCTCAATAAAGTGGAACAACTGTTTGTGGAACACCTCAATAAAGTGGAACTACTGTTTGTGGAACACCTCAATGAAGTGGAGCAACTATTTTTGGAACACCTCAATAAAGTTGATAGTATGTCCCATTAGATATAAACTTAACATAATTTAATGCACCTCTGCAAGTAGAATACCTCCATGTTTAACACTATTTTGAGGTCACAATTAAAGTTATTCCAATAAAACAGCTTTAGCTGTAATCACCCTAGAAAAACAGTAACAGCAACTCCCCAGCGTAGCAAATTCCACTGAGAAAAATATTTTATCAAATTATTCATCATTTTAAAAAGTTCATGACAGAAATAACAAGCCATTCGCTATATCGTCCATGGCAAAATCTACACCCATGACATAATAAATCATATAAGAATATACTATTAACAGACATCAGAAGAAGTCCAAAAGTATGTTGTGAGGGTGTGTTTCTTGACTTAGAAATCATGTTTTAGTTGTCAGTTAAGCTTGGAGGAAATGTAAAATGTCACTCAACCTTTTGGTGATTTTGAAGTCATGTCTGCACTTCACTTTTCAAAATCAAATTCTGTATTATTTGATTCACTAAACTTTTATTGTTTCTCAAAACATATCTCAAAATCATGAAACGAGGGTGAGGAGCGTTGAAACTTTGTTATGAATTTTAGTCACAAAAAATAATGAGTGACAACTTCCACTTCCTCGAGTGTAGTGAAATTTGCTTTGGCAATATAGAGATTTGTGATTTGGTATAGCATATAGCATGCTGCAAGTTACAAAAATATAGTTTGTATAAAAAATTTACAACATGGTGTTGAATTGGATTTGAAGTTATAAATGTATCTTAGATTAGCAAAATTGAAGACAATTCCTAGTTTGGTTTCTATAGACTGTATAGAACCAAGAGATTTGAACATTTGGCAATATAAGACACCGTCTCTGTAAATATCCTAAAAACATATATTTAGTACTCAATGCATGTGCTCAGTACATAACATATAAATGCATTTGTCCTATCATTTGGATATGGTTGCCCTAAAATCTTCACTTGTGAAACCTCATTTGTCATAGGATAAATTAGTTATGCGATGCTCAGTTTTGAATATGGGGAATATCCCTCAGGAAATATAATATCTTACCTCGGACTCTACGGGCCCTCGGTAAGTTATCTATATTTCCCTCAGGATATACCCCATATCCAAAACCTCCCATAACATAACTCTCATATATATACTCAGATATAATGAATGTATTTAGTACATTATACATGTATTCAGTGCAATGTACACATTGCAAAGCACATGATACATGTATTCAGTATACAACACATGTACAAAGTACATGCACATGGTACAATATATACATGTTATACAGTAACCAGGCTATCTTACTAAATTACATATCTACATCATTACTAACCAAAATATACAAGATTTATGAACATGTATTCATTAACACTACTTTACAATTCTAACCCTAATGTATAGAGCACTTGTTTCAAAATTTTAGCATTTCTGTACACTTACATGTATGCATTCTCTCCATACTTGAATACATACCATTTCATGTACTGTCCATATATGGTATAAATAAGGAGAACATGCTAGTACTTGGTTCATCAGAGTGCCTCCCAATGCACCAAAGTACACCTGACCAGAATGACCTAGAATACATATGCACATCATGGTTACCTGGCTTGACTAAAGTACACCAATGCACACCTAACTGACCCTTGAAATACTAATGTAAACAAAGGTGGCGAGAATGCACCAAAAGGCACAAGTGTAACCTCGAATACACCTATGTACACCAAAGTGGCCCAAAATACACAAATGCACACCTAACTGACCCTTGAAATACTAATGTAAACAAAGGTGGCCAGAATGCACCAAAAGGCACAAGTGTAACCTAGAATACACCTGTGTACACCAAAGTGGCCCAAAATACACAAATGCACCAATGTACACTAGACCGACCCTTGAAATACTAATGTAAACAAAGGTGGCCAGAATGCACCAAAAGGCACAAGTGTAACCGAGAATACACCTATGTACACCAAAGTGGCCCAAAATACACCAATGCACCAATGTACACTAGACCAACCCTTGAAATACAAATGTAAGCGAGGGTGGCCCAGAATGCATCAACGTGGCACTAGGATTACTTATTCACAAGGGTGACCTACGATGCACCAAAAATACACAAAAGTGGCCCAGAAAACACAAAAAAGGAGAACAAGATACATTTTAAAGGGCCATGTTGCACAAAGACTAATCAATGAAAATCGTTTAGATTAAAATAAAATGCATAAATATCATGGAATTCTCAAAATTAATTTGTATCTTAAAATGTTGCAAAATGCTCCTTTGGAATTTGGTGTTTTTAAATATATGTACCTCAGATTTTAAAACATGAAGAAATATGACATGATACGATGACTACAATCTACTACAAAATACTGGTACGTATACATTTCACTGACATCTACAGTATATCTGACCCACTACACTAACTAGATTTACAAATGTACAGCTAAGTTCATAACATATAAAATGTATTTTATACAATGCTGTGCCTTTAAAATGGCAATATGTTAAAGCATTAATCAAACAACCGGTATACATCTGACAAACACCAGTGTCAGACAATGTAATAGTATTTCTCAAACGATTTCACAGGTATATCCATTAATTACACGTCGCACGAAACTGGGGACAATGAGCAATAGGGCGCAAACAGCCTTACAACGTCAAAAACGACAAGCGTCACATTTTTTACAAGTTTAGTCAACCTAAAAATAAAATACTTTATCCTTATCTAATCATTACAAAATTTACAGGGTAGCAAGATCTCGAGGACAATATTTCTAAAATGTTTTTGAATTTTGGAAAACGGTCAAGAAATCCACTTGGGGCGTTAGTATTAGTAAAAATTGATATGTATGGAATTTGTGGTAAAAAATCGATGCGTCACATTTTTTCAAGTCTCGAAAACCAGCTCTTATTTTGATATTATTTGCAAAATAAACAAACCGGTTATTGTTTTTTAAATTTCGCCATGACAATATTGTGCAGTTAAATTTTCTTTCAAATCAGACCTAAATTAGAAGGTTAAATGAAGGTAAACTTATTGCTCGTCCCATTCGCTTTCAAAACCTTACACAATTTTGAAATGTAGCCGTTAAGCAATTGTGACGTCATAAATGCAAATGTTCCATTGAATAAATTGTGAAATTTAAGTGGGATTTTGATCATTATTTCAAAAGTTATCTCAATTTCAACGAGCCCTGTAAGCGTAAAGTGTTACGTCTTACAGCGTATTTGACGATGTCGGAGTATATTTAACTTTAATAATGTGTTGGATCCCATCAAAAATTTGAAGGAAAAATAATTTCATTGAAATGCGAATAAAAAAAACTTCAAAATGATATGTAAAACACATAGCTGGATTTTTAAATAAGGCAGAGATTAACGTTCAAAGCTGAGATAAGCCCGCATTTCCCGAATTGTCCCCAGGTCCGTGCACGTCATAAATGCATTAACCATTGTAAAAATTATCGCATTTTTGTGTAAAAATGGGGTCAACATCTTTGAAAAAGTGTATTGATGGGTTGATTGCTAGTTAAATATCTCCGAGCTTGTTTGACTGTATATAATTCTCTTTGAGATAATGAATTTATCTAAAAGATAAACCTGTCTTAATTGTCAGAAAATAGTCATAATCCAAGATATAATTAACCTTCTGAAATTGTTTGCGATAACGTATATACTACGTGCTCCTTTTGATTCAATGCAGTCATTGTTGCTCCTATATGTCATAGTCTAATTATATCGTATATATTGAAATATCAATATATTTGAGTCATCCTCATACCAGTCACACTGTCCGAGTGAAAACAAAATTGCTAGCTGAAATTACACCCTACTCCAAATTGCATTACCAAGACAAGTTTAGCTATCAACAACGTTGGTTCAGGATACCAGGGCTTAATTATAAACGCAAGCTTCCCAAGGGTCATACCTGCGAAAAAGGATTAAATTTCGACAAACTTTTAGCAACCCCAAGTCTTCAGTCGCACTCCAGCAACTACATCTCCCGCAGATACACCGAACCTTACGACAGCTACGCCAGGGGTAGACAGGATAATAAAGTTAAGGCAATTGTTATACAGTGGCAAAACATGGTTCTATGTTGTGGAATATGAGCAATAATTAGACGAGTGTTCATCTGTAGGAGACTTACACTCCCCTCCAAAAGTTTGGCAAACTTAGCACCCTCATATTGTACTACGTGTTAAAGCCTCTTTATGTTTGAATTCTATTTACATAACCTGCGAGGAAAATACTTGTAATTATTGATGAAAATGTAACTAAACATAATTTCCAATGCCTCAAAATTTTCCCAATTTTTTCCTCAATTAGGATTGGTCGCGAATGGATGATAAATATTATGAATTTTTGAAATCGTCATTTCCATGTAAACCAATGGGTTTGCCGCAAGTGATATGACAGAA